ACCACCGACCGCGGTGTTCTTGAATCCAGCGCTTCGAGTGGTGGTTGTCGCAGTGAGGAGCGTGGCGGTCGCAGCTCCGTTGGAATTGGTGCCGGTCGACACCAAGCCGGTGATGGTCTGAGTGACAGGCACGGTGGAAGTGCCGCTCGAACCGGTGGCGAGCGAGTCGCTGGTGACGGTCAAAGTGGTGGCAGGCAAGACCGATGTGGCGGAGACGGAAGAGACTGACTCGGCGGAGCCGGCTGGAGTGGGGCCAGAGATGGTGACAGTGGCGACGGAGGTGGCGCTATCAAAGTTTTTTTTGTGGCGTCGACGCGAAAAAGGGTGGAACGGAAAGATAAGCAAAAGGGGCCTTCGGCTGATGTCATGCGTGACGCCAAGGCACACTCACCCAGAAGCGTCGGTGACAAGCGAGGTGGTCACGAAGGGGATGATGGAACCGGTGACGGCGTAGCCGTACGACGCGCTTTGGAGACCGGCGGAGGAAGCAGCTGCCAAGTCGCCTGAGCTGACGGTGAAGGATCGGCTGGTAGAGAGGGTTTCGCCAGTTCTGTTGTATCGGTGGTGGATGGGTCAGCTTATTACGATCCGAACAACGATACGAACAACGACAAAAAAACTCACGCAGGATCGGTGATCCGGACGCGGTAGCTACCAGGGGGAGTATTGGCGGGTAGGGCGATGTCGAGGTTGCCGCTTCCGTCAGTGTTGACACTGCCGATGTTGTATGAATTGCCTTTCGAATCGAGTGCGACGACGTTGTAGCTGCTTGGAGCATCGCTGTAGGTGCTGACGCTCAAGTGAACGACACCACCATTGTAGGAGGTGCCGGAGATGACGATCTTGGAGAGGGCGAGGAGAGGAGCGGTGAGGAGGACGAGGGCGGAAGTGAAACGCATCGTGGACAGAGGTCGTTAGAGAGGATCGAGGAGGGCGTGAGGAGGTTGTTGGGGGGCGTTAGAGGGAGGGATGGAGAACGACTGCGAGGGGAGGGCGAACATTTATAGTTTTTCGAGCTGGAGCGAGGTTGGTTTGATTATCGTGGACTTTTCTGAGGGCGAGATTCAGCTTGGACTGGGTGAATGCAAATTTGAATTTCGACAGCCGCAAAACACAATTCACACCAATCAGGGATCTCCATTCCAATCTCGACTGTAAACATAAAGACGTCATCGTTCCAACGCCCCTCCCTCTCACGCCCCTCCACCGACCATCCACACCCAACAAACGTCGACGACATGGAGCATTCGGTTCGTCAATGTCGACGACATCAGCGAGCCCAGCGAACGAGCCGTCCTCCGATGCCGTCGGTTCGTACCCGGCGAGGGGGAGTGAACAATGGCAAGCCACCGGTCACGCCCAGGGTGCGTCTGTAACGCATTGCTAATATTCCCATGCCCTATTATTGGGTACCCCCAACCCTCGAGCAATTTCCTTTTCGCAATTTGGTTCGCGGGGTTACTCCAAGGAAATAAAATAAGAGATATAATAAAAAATAAAGTAAAAATAAACGCCACAATAAACTTTAGCCGATGACGTCGTCGCATCAGTTGGTCCTTCACAATCTGACCGGTCATCTTGGCCTAGAGAGGCTTTTCACGCAGTAGCTTTCGTGGGCCCTCCCGCATGACGCAACACGCCTTTTTATCTGCGCTGCGTCCCTGATTCCCGCCCCTCCCCGCCGCAATCAAATTACATCCTTCTCGCCGACTCCCGAAGCCGAACCGAGCCGAACACTCCTCCGGTTGCTATCAACAACCGATTAGAAGCTCAATCGCACCCATCAGTAGGGCGAGGCTCGCAGACAAAGTTGTGTGTACGGTTTGTTTCGGCCAGTCACGCCGATTTGATAGGCGTGTGGCGTCACGTTTACGCCTCTCGTGGGTGGGAATGACGATTTGGTTGGTGGGTGCCAAATTTGGAAGGCATTGCAACGTGTTGCGGGGCGTGGATCCTTCGGCTCGGCAAAATTTTGGTGTGAGTGCAATGTGGTGGATGTCGAGGGAGGCTTGGAACAATAGTTCGCAGTCGTCGGGGCGGTCGGTGGGACTCGTCACAGTGGCTTGGTCTGCACATGGCGGGGGGCGCAAAGTTGGGTTTAACGTCAAACGATGAATTTGAGATCGATTTCAAGACGTTCTATCTACGAAAAGCTCCTGGGATCGAACACTTACGAAAGTCATCTGTTCGGACCCACGGCTGAGGACATGCGGTTCTGGTTGAACTTGCAAGCGAGTTAACCGCATTGGGGTGCCGGGGACTTTTTTAGTCTCATTTCTCGTGATGCAGGCCAGTCGCCCGCATTGCGTCATTTCGAGCCAAGAAAGGGTCGACCAGTCGTGAGTCCTGCAGGCTCGCACTTTAAACGTGCTCGGGAAGAGGTTCTGCCGCACGCTAGAAGGAAGCACAAGGTTCGTCGGTGACCCGGGTATCCAATTAAAAACAACTTGATCGTATGCCGTGCCGAAAGCCAAACAAAAATGGGGAACCTTTTTCAAAATACGCGGCATCACGTTAGCAACTGTTGGACCAACGACGTTCGCGGTAAGCCGCACCTCTATGCAAACGCAGGACAACCTCGTTCAATAAATCTCGTCGAACGGCCTGGTATCGGCTTTACAGCTCTCCCAGACCTCGTTGACGGCCTTTTCAGCTCGCACAGAGTCTCCGGCACAATCTGGGTGCTGCTGAACGGACAAGATGGCTCGTCGGCGAACGCAGTCCTAGTAGTTCCCATTGCGCTGGTCAGAGGTCGGAGCAGGTCGCCCACGGAAACAACTAACCTGATGCTGCTTCGAAAACGTATAAAACCCTCTCCTGATCTCTCTCGACCACTTGCAATCTCCGCTCAAATTCGCCGCTCGAATCTAGTGAACCAAGAGCGTCAACCGGAAACGACCAAGACGAAGAGCCGAGTTCAACCTACCTCGCTGCACGCATGATGCCTCAAGTCCTTCCAATCCACTTTGAACTTGACGTGATCGTACATGTGAACCATCTCATGCACCAGCGTATCTTCCATATGGCTCTTGCTCCAAAACCCATCTTGGCACAACAGGATGCCCTTTTCGGGGCTGAACCCCCCCGCGCGAGTCATGTTGCACGGTTGACAGTGGATGTGGTCGGTGGTCAAGTTGCAGCCGGCTTGTTGCAGGTGTTTGAGCATGAACGAGACTGCGGGACCTTTTGGCAACCGATTCCGGAGTGAGACGAAAAGTGGCTTTTGCAACGAAGGCAGGAGGACAACACGTACTGTTTTTCATCAAATCTGCCTTCCACTTTTCGCATCGCACCCACATGGCCTCTTCAGCCTCGACGTCTTGGGAGGCTTTCCGTCGAGCGTGGTCGTCAGGCGTCAACCCCACGCCCGTGATCCACGAGACGCTCTTTCTCCATCGATCAAACGCCTTGAGGTCCTTGTCTTGCGCGTCTGGTGCCGTCGAGGACGTAGATGGCGCGTTACTCGTGGAAGACATGTTGGCGGGAAAGTTTCGGCGCTGGTGGCGAGGCTAAACATCGAGCGTGGGAGTGGGAACGACGGCAGGTGCCTTCCCGGTTATCAGTTGCCGATGACCGTCTCTGCACTTTTACCTCTGAAATTGCAAGCCAGTGAGTGATCTGGACGTTCAAATCGAGTTGAGATTGACCATCATGACTTTTTTTACGGTATAGGACATGGTAGAGGGCGTACCTAAAGTCTCTTCGGAAAACGTCCTCGTGTCGTTGCCTCCGGACCTCCCGCACGTCATCGTCATTACCATGAACCGAACGGCGGTACGTTTCGACTAGGAGACTGTGACTCGCATAGTTAACGATCCGTCGTTCACGCAGACGATGAACGCGATGACGCCCGAGCTCCGGGACGACATTGGCAAAGTCATGGATTACTTTGAAAACGAGCGCAGTTTATGGTACGTTGTCCTCCGTACCGCACCTTCCGCTCGGTAACCTCTTAGTTACAGGGTCGCCATCATCACCGGTGCCGGTCGAGCGTTTTCGGTCGGGATGGACCTCGGCGCATGGCTCAAGGACCAGTCTTCCGGCCAATTGACCAATTACAATGACGTGAAGTCCCCCGGCCGGGGAATAGGGTCGATTTCGAAACGGCGATCGAAGAAACCCATCATCGCTGCAGTCAACGGTTACGCGGTCGGAGGCGGGTTCGAGATGGTGTTGAACTGCGATTTGGTGGTCGCCAGCTCGGGTGCCAAGTTTGGGTATCCAGAGGCGACGAGGGGAGTAACGGTTGCAGCTGGAGGTGCGTGTGGTCGAATCGATCTCTGGAACAAAGGCTCATGTCTCGCTAGGACTGCCGAGACTCGTTCGCGTGGCGGGGCGCCAGGTTCGTAGTCTTTCGAGGCGCCGGAAGGAAACCTGACGTTCGTGGTAGCTGGCCGCCGAGTTGCTCTTCACAGGCAGAATCATCGGCGCCGAGGAAGCTAGAGACAGGTTTCGTTTGTGAGTGCTCCGGCGCAACTCGTGCGACTACAAACGTTGACGAGGATCGCCAGCATCAACGCCGTCGTGCCAGCAGACCAAGTGATGCTGACCGCACTGCAATTCGCCAAAGCGATAACCGCCAACTCTCCAGATGCCGTACAAAGCAGCAAGACGGGCATCATCTGCGCCGAGCAGGAAGGAGGGCTGGATGCCGCCACCGGTGCGCACGTCGACAGCGCCGAAACGGAGCGCATGTTTACGGGGGAGAACATCTCGGTGGGTCAACGCGTTCGCCGGAAAATCCCGACTACACTTATCATCTCCGATTGATAGGAGGGATTAAAGTCGTTTATCGAGGTGGGGCAGATTTTGCGCTTTCGGTAAATTTTCGCGCTGACTTGCCGAACAGAAACGAAAACCAAAATGGGCCGATCCGAGGCTGTGAGGGGGGAGAGGGCTGTGGCATAATGGGCTGGAAAATCGTTTCTGGGTGGGGAGTTTACATGGTGTACGTTAGGAATCGTTAGATATATATTCGGGAGGTATTGTTGTCAGTCGAGTCTTCTCTGGTATATCGGTAGAACATCACCCTGTCACTTGTGCGCCCGCCTGGGAGTATGACCCACGGTGAAGAGCTGGGTTCGACTCCCAGGAGGAGAGACTTTTTGACCGTAAGTTTTGTTACCCTGACCCTTGACCTCTCTGCCACACCTGTTCCCCCAAGAAGAGCTGGGTTCGACTCACAGTAGGAGAGCATATTTGACATTATTTTTTGTGTATGCTGTTAGGGAACTGTGGGACCGTGCCTACACAGCCCCCACCCTGCTTATATACATCAGCAAAAAAAATTGAAGCCATAGTTGACTGGGCGGCCTCTCGGCGACTCCTGTGTGTCCATAGAGCCCCAACGATTACATGCTACTTGGTACCGTCTATAGATTCTCGGCCACTCACGGTAGCCACCAGGAGTTCCTCAATTATGCAGAATAGAAGCTTATAATTTCTTCCGGGGCCGCGTTCATATGTAGCTTCGGTACGTCTCGGGGTGTCTCGAAGTAATATAGTATCAATAAATACACGGACGCTAGTTCTATTTACAGGGAAAGATAAGAATGGATATCGACAAAATCATTGACAAGAAATTTATTAAAGACATCCAGCGGGCAATCTATCGGCGCAGTCAAATCATTCTCCCACTGTGGGATCAGATGGCAGCTTTGGACTATCTGGCTGAGCGGAATCACTTCTCCAGCTGGCTGGCCTCGACTGTTGAGGGCCTTCGAGACTTGGAACATTCGAGATGGGTGGCGGCTGGCCTTGAGGTCCGTGAACCACTGCACATATGCCAGTGGATGCCGAGATTGCGCCAACTCGCCGACAACGGTAGGGAGTTCAAATATAAGACGTAGCTGTGCAACGCGATAGCGATACTGTGAGCCTGAAAAACACATTATTAGCTTACACACAATTGTTTAAGCAGTACATACGCACGAGGTGGGGTTTTGACAAGAACTGTATCAAAGAACGCCGCATATCCAAGGGTTGGCAAAACCCTCGCCACTCTAGCAGGCGTCACTCGAATTCGATCTTCCAAGGGCGCTACTCCGAGTGCAGGAGAAGGCACTAACAAATGAGCGCACTTATCGATTGTGAATGTATCATATGGAACAACATTCTCAACGCGGACGCCGGGATGCGAGGCCGCTAGACAGGCAAGATATAAATTGAGAGAAGAAATGAGATCCAGAACGTGAAAGTGATGTTGGATCGTGCACAGCAAGATATTAGGCGGAGGTGGGACCTTCGCTAGCTGCAATTTGGTACACTTGAATAAGTCGGGAGGCGGTGCCAAACTGGTATCTAGGTCTTCATCGGAGGTTTCCGACATCTCTGAGTTTGCAGCATCTTGTGTCAGGTGTGGAACAACAGCTGGAGGATAGTAAGCCCACTGGGCACTGTCGGGCCCGGATGCCAAACAGTGGGAGGAGTCGATACAAGCCGAGTACAACAGTCTCGTCGAGACCGGCACCTTCGAAGTAGTCGATTTACCACCTGGACGCAAAGCTATACCCAGCACGTACGTCTTCAAAGAGAAAACCGGTCCAGACGGTCAAACCGTCAAGTTCAAAACACGCATCGTCGCTCGCGGAGATTTGCAGAAGAAGGGTGTTGACTTCGATAAAGTATTCGCTCCCGTTCCCCGCCTCGACACTGTTCGTGCCGTTTTCAGCTACGCCGCAAGCCAGGATTGGGATATCGACCAGCTCGATTTCAAATCAGCCTTCCTCAACGGCGATTTGAAGGAAGAAGTTTACATGAAGCCACCCGAAGGCTTTCATACCGAAGACGGTAAGGTCTGGCCCCTAAAGAAGACCCTCTACGGATTGCGTCAGTCCCCCCTATGCTGGCACGAGAAGCTAACTTCCACTCTCAAGGACTTCGAGCTTGTTCGCAGCACTGCAGACTTCAGCGTCTACGTTGGGCGCTTCGGTAACGACATCATCATCATCGTCACGCACGTCGACGACATGGCTATCACCGGCAATAACAAGAAGAAGATCCACGAGGTCAAAGTATTCATCAAGTCGCGTTTCAAGGTCGAAGAACTCGGGCCACTTCATTTTTACCTCGCCATCAAATGGACCCGCGATCGAGACAAGCGCACGATCACTGGGTACCAAGGGAAGTTTGCCTGTACTATCCTTGAACGCTTCTCTATGCTTGGCTGCTATTCGGAAGATACTCCCGTCATGCAGAACCATCAATTCACTCTTGCTGATTGCCCTGCCGCCAAATCCGAAGAACAGGCTAAGATGTCTCGCATCCCGTACCTGGAGGCAATTGGAAGCCTCATGTACCTCATGCTCGGAACGCGACCTGATCTCACCTACGCCATCGGCAAACTCTCTTGCTTTGGCAGCAATCCCTGCAAGAAACATTGGACTGGTGTCAAGCGAGTGCTTCGCTATCTCAGTGGAACTCTGGATTATTCTCTTACTCTTGGTGGACGCTGCTCTGAAATGCCGACCCTTACGGCATACTCGGACGCTTCATTTCAGGATTGTCCAGATACCCTGAGGTCTACATCAGGATACGTCTTCTATCTCGGTGACGGTCCCATCAGTTGGAGCAGCAAGCGCCAAGGCGTCATTACCAACTCCACGATGGAAGCCGAATACCTTGGACTTAGCAACACCGCACGGCATGCCATCTGGCTTCGCGAACTATTTGAAGACCTCGGGTGTATTCAAGCAGAACCTACGGTTATCTACGGCGACAACAATGCCTCTATCATACTTGCCCAGAACGCCAGCGACCATGGACGCGCTAAGCATATCAAACGTGTTTATCGCTTTGTGCGCGAACGGATCCAGCAGGAGAAGGACATTACCGTGGAGTACAGCCCAGGTAAAGACAATATCGCCGACATCTTCACTAAACCCCTCGGACCCGAACTCTTCAATAAGTGCATCACTCACCTTGTCAACAAACCATCGGGATCCAGCACCACGAGTGGGAGTGAAGTAAAAAGTAGATAGTTTGTGCGTGTTTGCTAGACACCCTTTAAGTAGTGTTTGTTGTGTCCCTGCGTGTTCTCTTTCTTCATCATACTGAACTAAGAGTACGTGCAGGTAAGTTGTATTCTTATTACTACTAGATACGCTATAGATCATACTGAACTAAGAGTACGCGCAGCTATCGTTTCACTTCAGGGACTTGGGCCTTGATGATTGCATTGGCCATGAGCCTGATGTCTTCTTGAGAAGGGGGGAAACTGGCACCAGTGGTCTCTTGGATGTGCTCCCCAGGACTGTATTTTCATCATTGCTTAGTAATGGTTTAGGTTTATTAAACTCATCAATGGTTTCCACCCTTTTAGTGTCTCTGAATTGTGCTGTAGCTGGCACCCTCTTCCAATGCAATAGTGGCGGGTACCCTGACACCCTCCAGCTTGCTTTTTCCATTGTGTACTGTGCCACTGCTGCAACAGAGAGTGCATTCCTTCGCTGCTAGGCATTAATCCTTTTGATAGATTTGAGTTCTGCTTGTGCTACCATGGTGAAACCAGTGAGGGGGTGGTGTGAGCCTTGTCCCTAATTGATCTTCCACTGCATGAGATCAGATTTTCAGGCAAGTCATGAAATCTCAAGAATCACAACCAGCATACCAACTGCATGCTACAACCTCAGATGCATCATGTTTCTCCAAAGAGTGACTTCTTAATGTGCCTCAGCCAAAAACTGAAGACCAAGCACTGTCCTCTCCCCCATTCATCAAGAGCACAATGGATCTGCAATATGCATGGACGTGAGTTATGCAATGCACATAATGACATGCACTGCTGCATAATCAACTCCAGTGAGATGGGCATGAAGAATTTGTTCTGCTTGCACCTGTTAGTGTTCTTCTGATGAAAGAAAAAAAAGAAAGAAAAAGAAACCATTTTGAGTGATGCTAAACTGCAATAAATTTGACCAAGGTCCAACCAAGGTGATATAATCTCAAGAGGAAACAAGCTCAGCATAGGTTTAGGAGACAGATCTTGTGGACATATCCATCATTTTCCATGAATATTTCCTGCTCTCCAGTTGTGTTAGGAACTGTGGGAATCACTGCTTGCAACCCTGCTCAGCCCACCATATGCCTCCCCTCTCTTCCTTATTACCTAAGATAGAGTTTAATTAGAATTGCTCCTTTTCTTCTTTCTTTTTCTCTCTTGAATGATTGCAAAACCCCAAGCATATGGCTTGGAATAGAATTAATAATGAGGTTCCCACTGATTGGATTATTTGGGAGACTGGCTCAACTAAGACTATTAATAGATGATTCATCAAAGTGACTATGTCAAGCTTGACAAGTTTAGAAGGTTAGTAGACTCCTAGTAATAAAGGACTTGCCATAAGCAGTCATTCAGCTCCAGTGCAAGCCTGGGACATTAAGATGCTCAACAGACAGCTTGCCAAGCCCCGTTTATGTGAATAAGGAGTCGCTATTTGTTCTCTAGAACAATAGTGACTATGTAGAGCTACCTATATCTCTCTTAGCCAGGTTAATAAATACAGGTGCAGCAACAAGAGAGTCACATCATCTCCTCTACCTATTTTAAACCTCCCTTGCCCTTGTGCGCTCAATTCCACCTGTCTAGTGTGAAACTAGGACAAAGGATTGGTTGGTTTATTATGACACTAAACCCTTGTCAGGTTAGGATGAGCTTTCAACTAACCACTGGCACCTTTGTCATCATCATTGACTTTGACAATTTAGGTTTGCTCAAGCTTGGAATTACTTTGATACTACTTTCTGTGCTTGGTGTGGATTATGTTTGCATTGTTACTAACATACTCTGACACTGACAAAATGAGATTTACTATGTCTATGGTCAAAGGAAGAGTCTTAATGTCAACTTGGTTCTTGGTGGTCAACATTTATTTTTAGTTTGCTATTATTTTCTTTATTCCCTCCTTCCATCCCCTTAAAAGCACAGTTCAAAAGCATAGTTATGGCCTTGGATTCATTTGCTGTCTGCTGGCCAAAAACCCTGAAAATATTCCTCTTAGGATTGTTAAGCAGCAGGGACGGGGTTGTTACTAGTAGTCCAGTAGATAGAATAACAAGTCGTAACAAATTTATTTCTACGTACGAAACGACTGCCTTTATAG